GAAAATCATGATTTTTTTAACAATTGGTTCGTTAACGACTCCTTGGGCAAGCACGGGATAAATTCAAGCATATCTCTATTTGATTTGATTTTCTCATTGGGTTCTTCTAGTGTGTGAATATTTTAAAGTTCATCAAGGAGAGAGAAGACTAAATGGTTTGGGTGCACATTTTTGGTTTTATGCCTTTGAGTTTAACATAAAAGTTTCAACCTTTTTATGTCGTCATTTGGTAGTGTAATTTGATGTTGTGCTAATACATTCTTTTCAAGATTTACTTGGAATAGTTGGTAATAGTGCTCGAAAATCCTCAGCCCAAGTCCGGATCAATGTTTTGCAAAATGGGGGAGGGTAGCGTGAATATTCTAAGCTAACAGAGAAAATTATACGACAAAACGGAGATCACAGAAAGTATATAAGTGGTTCATCCTACCCGAAAGATCAGGGTTACGTCCACTGTAATAAAGGCTCTTGCTCCGTAGAATTTGTATTATTTGAAGTAGAAAATTATAGTGGATTTCGTAGGTTAGAGCTTGAGTGAGCAATGCCTTGCTAGTATAGGTTTTTCATTCATCTTTTACATAACGTGATGGTGTTTTATCTATACAAGTTGTTATCTAATGCTTTTTGCGATCTTCTTCATCCTTCGACTGATTATGTGGTCTCCTCTTTTATGCCTTGTAGTGGTGACCGTTACCCGGACTTTAGCCATATCTACGGTCCTTTAATGTAATGTGCACAAATATTCCCTTTATCAATGAGTACACGTTCGTTAGAGGCTCCAGAAATGATCTCTTTGGACACGTGGCGCGACGTGAGACATTCGAGGTCTGGTGAATACCGAGCTCCTTGTTCCCGGACTGCTTATCATTGAACTTGTTATGACCGAGCAGGAGTATGCCGAGTTAGACTCTTTGCTAGACTCTCTCATTTGGATTATGACCCATTTCTTATTGCGGAGCAGGTGGGTTGTAGAGGGGTCTCTTGGGCCGTTATGCAACCGTTGGACTCATTAGATGTTTTGGGTTTGGATGGGCAGCCCACTCCAAAATCTTACCATTATTAGTTGGGATTTTGATACACTAAGATAATTTTGATACAACTGTTATTGGAGCATGTTTAAGTGAAAATTAAGGAAATGTAATGGATTCTCATTCCTTTTGGTTTTATTTTATACATATAACCTGAATATTATAGGTTTTAGTAAAATAATTTTAATTTAAGATTAGTTTTTTTTTTTTTGAGCAAAAATGTAAGATTAGTTCAATAAAAAAAAAGTAACTATGTTTCGGGTTTTAGATAAAAATATAATTAATGAGAATTCTTGAAATGTATTAATATTATTTGATTATTCTTCTTCATTTTAATCATGTTTATGGGTAATTTCTAGTTCTTCATTAGAGCATCTCCAATAAATGTTGATCAAAATAGTTAAAATTTAGTTGGTCAAAGCCAAAAGTCATACTCCAACAAATGCTATTCATATATTCTAAAATAGATTTTTTTTATAGTGATACTCTATATTTTATATTATTTTCTCTTTCTTCCTCTCCTTTCTTCCATTCTCTCTCTTTCTCTCTTTCATTATTCCCAAAAAATAGATAATATAAAAAGAATGAGAAATAATATTTAAAAAGAGTAATTAAAAATATAAAAAATTTGTTGGAATGCGTATTAAAAAAGTGAGTAGTTAAAATAGAAAAAATTACTTTTTAAATAGCTAAAATACAATTTATTGTTGAAGATGCTCTTATTAATGAAATAACAGGTTTAACCACCTACTGCTACTATTAACGCTAATAAATTTAGGTCAATTGTAATGCAAAATTGTTTTTATTTTTCATCTAATATGAAATATGATCAAATTACCAAAATGCCCCTCAACTATATCAACTGTTTCAATTCAACCCTAAATTAAAAATGATCTCAATTTAGTCCTCCAACCTTTTTAATTTGTATCAATATCATCCTTCCTTCTGTCTAAACCTGTCAAATCATGTAATAGAATTGAGGCACGTGCATGTCACATGATCTCTTAAAACATCCCAATTATCCATACCCAAATCCAAACCCAGCCGCCTGACCCGTTTCTTCTTCTTCTTGTTTACCTCACCAAACCCTAAACCAGTCACCACCACCAACATCCACTTCCACGACAACATAGTCGCCACCAAAACTCAATTCGAACAAAAATGAAATCCCACAATAATTAAACCCAAAATTAGAAAAACATTGGGAATAGAGAGAGAGAGAGCAAGGACTATGAAAGTAGAGAGTTGGGATGCACAGCTCCATCGCTACACACCATCGCAAGACTCTATCACTATACACCACGCCACACCACCTCTGTACATGTATGACACCACAACCACCCCCAGCACCCACCACCATGTCACCACAACCACACCCCAATGCACACGGTGAAACATTTTCTCTCCATAAACCCACCTAGTTGGAACAAATCCAACCAATCAAATGAAATCCCACAAAATTGAGACGTCCGCGATTGTGCAAAGTTGTGGAAAAGGAGAGGTCAGCCTGTATTTCGGACTATGCGAGAGAAAAGAGACAGTTCTGTGTGAGGTCAGTGTATATGTGACAAAAAGGGGTGGGGGGAGAGAGAGAGAGAGAGAGGTGGATGTGAGTTGGGTTGGGCAGAGAATAGAGAGTGGGAGATCTAATGTATTGGCGAAGATTGGAGGAGCAGGTGGTTGATTTGGGTGTTAGTTTGGGGTTGGGTTTTGGATATTGGATAGTCAAGGTATTTTAGGATTTGTCTAAAATACACCTGATGGAAATCACACCACACTTGCATGAAAATAAGTTTCTGGCTTCCATCTCCTACCTGCCATTGGCATCCTTCTGCTTGCAGATCCCTGTCCTCCTTCAACCTTCTCAAAATTCATAGCTTGCAGCTTTAGGTTTCACTTCCCATAAGGACTTATTTTCATAGTATTTGGGTTTGAGAACTTCTACATGTTGATACCGAAAAATATACAAAAGACCTTCAAACTTCTCCAAATCCATAGCTTGCAGCTTTAGGTTTCACTTCCCATAAGGACTTATTTTCCTAGTATTTGGGTTTGAGAACTTCTACGTGTTGACACCAAAAAATATACAAAAGGCAATAGGATTTTAGAAGACAACAAGTAATATAAAAATTATCAGAAATGACAGAAAATGACTTTCACCATCAAACCATATATTGTGTAATAAGTCACACAAAATATTTTTTAAATATTCCCCGAATATTATTTTATAAAAGACAATGATCATTGTGAAGAAAGGGACCTCAACGAAGAAAAAACTCTATTGTACTCATATTTTTTAAAACAATATACGATCGAGGAGTAAAATTTTTTATTACAGTAGAACCAAACTTTTCAGCTGGTGAACCACTAATTTTTTTGTGTATTCTCACTTATTTTTTCACTCATTTTCCCACACACGACGTAGAGCTCATCCAATTTTCCATCTCATGCTTCAGGGTTATGGACTAGTCTCCACACCTATTTTGCAAGCAAAGCTACATTAAAATTCTCAAGGTCTCCAAAACCCAAGCCCCCGGTGCCTTATTTTTGGTTAATTGTCCCATTTCTTCCAGTGAACTCCTCTTTCCCCTGATGATTTGCTCCACCAAGCTAGATCAAATGTTGGGAATATAGATGGTTCCCAGACACCACATACTTGGCAATACCCTGCATAGTAGTGTTAGGAAAGTCCAAGAACTAATCAAAACTCCCAACAAAAGATGGGATTCAGAGTTGATGCACAGTATTTTCCCTCATGAAGTGGCCAGAGATATCTTGTCCATTCCAATAAGTGAGACAAGGCAAGAGGACAGAATCATATGGGCGTACAACAATGGTGGTTCCTACACGTGAAGAGTGGACATCACTTGCAGAATCAAAGGGTAAGAAGATTTCAAAGTGAATCATTGACTTCAACAAGTGATTATTGAATCGGATTTGAAGGCATTAACAAAATCCCTAGCCTAGTTAAAAGGACTTGGAGCTACAATCTGCAAGATAACAGTAATACAGCATGATATATGGCATTACGTGAAGCAACTCCCGTTCCTAAAACTTCCAATCATCCGAAGGACTTCAAACATGGTGGCTCATATGGTTGCTACTCAGGCTAGGAGGGGGTCTTTAATTACCAATTGGGTAATAGAACCCCCCATACAAATTTTGGAAATCATATGTAAGGAAGCAAAAGTTGGCATAAGCTAGGCAAATGATACATATGCAATCATTGATATTTCAATGACTGAAGTTAATATTACTGTGGTTAAAAAAAAGGGTACATATTAAAAAGTTAAAGGGTTTAATTGAGATAAATTTTAGTTCAACAACTAAACTGAAACTACTGATATAATTGGAAGGCCGTTTTGATAATTTACTTACCAAGTATTGTAATTGTTAGGGGTGACAATTTTTAATACAACACAAAAATACGAATCAAAATAGACATAAAAGAAATAGGTAGAGTTGATCATTTTTCGACACGAACCCGTATAGAACACAATTTGTTAACACGAATAATAAATGAATTGAGTTAGTACCAAATACGAATAATACGAAATTGACATGATTAAAACACTTTTAAGTAGTATTATAAAAATAAAATGTCAATTTTTTATTATATTTTATCAAATAGTGACTTACTTCTTATATATATAAAAAGTATGAGTATAAGTTTGATTAAGTGATAATAGAATTTTAGACATAAAATTGAGCGTTAAATTTTTTATTCATGAGACATATGGGTCAACATGAATATGACGTGAAAATAAATAGATGGACACCGATAACACAATTAGTCAGACAGATTAAATTAAAATTAATTAGTTTCCGACATAAATCCGAAATGACACGGTAGACCCCCACCGATTGCCACCCTATAAACTAATTGCTCAGGAGTTGCAACTGGACTTCAAGGACGACGTCGTGTTGAAGCAACTTTAGTAAATTAGACGACGCCACGAAGTAGAAAAATAAGGCGAAGAGACATTAGAATACAGTCTGTACTACAGTGTACAGAGAGAGAGAGAGATAGAGAGAGAGAGAGAGTCTCTGAACTCTGCAGTGCGGTGTGGGAGGGAGCAGAAGGAGATGGACGCAACTGAAGCCGCTTCACCCACATCCCATTCTCCTTCCAATTTCAGGTTCTCTATGCTTTTGTTGTTGAATTTCTCTATTTTATAATCTAAACATAATGATTTATGCAAAATTATGTATATGGTTGCAGTCAACAACGCCACTTCTATCTCGCCGTCGACAGACTCCAGTTCAAAATGGTCTCTCTCTCTCTCTCCCCCCCC